CTGTATGGGGAATACATGTATATCCATGGCTGATTCATGTCAATGTATGACAAAACCCACTACAATATTGTAAAGTAATTAGCCTCCAACTAATAAAAATTAAAAAAAAATTAAAAAAAATAATAAAATAAAATCTGTGCAGAAATGCAAAAGATCCCAGATAGCCAAAATAATCTTGAGAAAAAAGACTAGAGTTGGAGGACTCACTCTCCATGATTTGCACTCATGTGACAATGTAGCCAAACATGTGAACTAACAATGTGAATGGACACACCAACGCACGCACATTTGCCTCTTTGAAAGTTTGCAACTTGAAGGTTTGTATGTAGGAGACTTACTGTGATGGAAATAAAACAAAAATAAATGGGACATAATTAAACAGTACATTTTGCACAGCAAAGGAAACCTAAACAAAAAGAAACCTATGCAGCAGGAGAAAATATTTGTAAATGATGTATCAGACAAGGGATTAACTTCCAAAATATATAGACAGCTTATGCAGCTCAAAATAAAAAAAACAAACAATTCAATCAAAAAATGGACAGAAGACCTAAATAGGAATGCTTCATTTTTCCAAAGAAAACATACAGATGGCCAATGGGCAATGAAAAGATGCTCAATGTTGCTAATTATTAGAGAAATGCAAATCAAAGCTACATCATGGTAGCTCTATTACCTCATACCAGTCCAAATGGCCATCATTAAAAAGGCTACAACTAATAAATGCTGGAGAGGATACAGAGAAAAGGAAAGCCTCCTTCAGTGTTGGTGGGAATGTAAATTGTGCAGCCACTATGGAGAACAGTATGGAGGTTCCTTAAAAAACTAAAAATAGAGTTATCATATGACCTGGCAATTCTACTCCTGGGTATATATCTGGAAAGGACAAAAACTAATTTGAAGAGATACATGCATCCCAATGCTCACAGCAGTACTATTATTATATACTTGGTATATTATTATATACCAAGACATGGAAGCAACCTAATGTCCACAACAGATGAATGGATAGAGAATATATATATATATATATATATATATATATATATATATATACAGTGGAATATTACTTAGCCATAAAAAATGAAATAATGCCATGACAGTAACATCAGTGGACCTAGAGATTATCACACTAAGTGAAATGTCAGACAAATATCATATGATATCACTTATATGTGGAATCTAAAAAAATGATACAAATGAACTTATTTATAAAACAGAAATAAACTCACAGACATTGAAAACAAAGGCACAGTTACCAAAGGGGAAAGGGCAGGAGGAGGGAGGGGTGAATTAGGAGTTTGAGATGAATGATATACCTTACTATACATAAAAGAGATAAACAACAAGGTCCTACTGTATTGCACAAGGAACTATGTTCAATATCTGTAATAACCTATAATGGGAAAAGTCTGAAAAAGAACATGATATAAATACATAATGAATCACTTGGCTGTACACCTGAAACTGACGACACTATAAGTCAACTACACGTCAGTAATAATAATAAAAAGAGAGACAGCCAAGAATGCACAGGGGGAAGGATAGTTTCCTCAACAAATGGTTTTGGAAAACTGGGTATCCACATATAGAAATAATGAAATCGAACCCTTATAAATTAAAGACTTAAATATAACACCTGATACTGTAAAACTCCTAAAATAAAAAATACGGGAAAAGTTTCTTGGCATTGGTGTTGATAATTTCTTGGATATGACACCAAAATCATAGGTAACAAAAGCAAAAGTAGATAACTGTAACCACATAAAACTAAAAAGGTTTGGAACAGTAAAGGACACAATCAACAAAATAAAAGGTAACCTACCTCTTATTGGTAGGAAGAAAATATTGTGAACATTATACTTAAGGGGTTAATATCCACAATATATAAATAAGAAAGTCCTACAACCCAGTTAAAAAAATAAAAATTTGATTAAAAAAATGTAGAATAGATATTTCTACAAAGGAGACATGCAAGTGGCCAACAGGTATATGAAAAAGTGTTCAACAGCACAAAGCATCAGGGAAATGCAAATCAAAACCATAACGAAACGTTACCTCCTCACATCTGTTAAAATGGCCAGTATAAAAAAAAGAAAACAAGTGTTGATGAGATGCAGAGAAATTGGACCCTTGTACACTGCTGGTAGAAATATAAATTGGTGCAGGCACTATGGAAAGTACTATGGAGATTCCTCAAAAAACTACAAATTGAACTACCTATGGTTAACAATCCCATTTCTGGGCACATGTCTAAAATAATTGAAAGAATGATCTCAAAGAGATATCTACACTTCCATGTTCATTGCAGCATTATTCGTAATAGCCAAGATGCAGAAACCACTTATAAATATCCATTAAAGTAGACTACATAAAGAAAATGCAATATATAATACAATGAATATTGATCACCCTTAAAAAGAAAGAAAATCTTGCCATGTGCAATAATATGGATGAACCTTGAAGACATGCTAGGTGAAATCAGTCAGTCACAGTAGGGCAAATATTGCATAACTCCACTTATCTAAAATAGTCACGCTCATAGAAACAGTAGAATGGTGGTTGCTAGGTGCCAGGGGAATGGGAGGTATTGTTCAATGAGTATAAAGTTTCAGTCCTGCGAGATGAACGAGTTCTAAAGACAACATAGTGCCCATAGTAACGACAGTAACATAGCGTTACCTGTAAAACACAGTGCTTAAAGGAACAATACTGCTTGTACACTTAAAATTTGAGGGTAAATCTCACGTTAAATGTTCTTACCACAATAAAAAATACATAAGTAAGATATAAGAACATAGGAAAGTAAAGGAATTTAAAAGATATCCCAGGCAATTACTTATCAAAAGTAAGTCAGTGTGTAGCTACCTTAATATGAGAAATCAGACTGTAAGGGAAAATGTATTACTAGGGTTAAAAAGGGTCACATAATGATGAATTGTAACTCATCAGTAACATACAATGATCCTGAAGCTTTAAGAATCTAGTAAAACCTCAGAAGTTGGGTGTGGCCTTGTTACTTCTGGGTGGAAGCTCTAAGAATTACTATGTGCTTTGCCACATGCCCGTTTCTCTCCACCATGCAATCGGGACTGTCCAGATGGTACCTTCTCCATCAGCCTGGGACCCAGAGTGAGGAAAATGAAAACATGACAAGCAATTCATGATGCACATGGAGCATGAGTTAAGAAGCAAACCTTTACTGTGCTGTTTGTGTTTCTCTTGTTGTTTTTGGCTGCATCGGGTATTTGTTGCTCCTGTGGGCTTTCTCCAGTTGCAGCAAGTGGAGATGACTCTCTGCTGTGGTGTGTAGGCTTCTCTGGCGGCTTCTCCTGTTGTGGAGTACGGGCCCTAGGGTACGCAGGCTTCAGTAGTTGCCACTCGCGGGCTCTAGGTGTTGTTCGGTTGCTAAGTTGTGTCCGACTCTTTGTGACCCCATGGACTGCAGCACGCCAGGCTTCCCTGACCTTCACCATCTCCCAGAGTTTGCGCAAACTTACGTCCATTGAGTCAGTGATGCCATCCAACCATCTCATCCTCTGTCACCCACCCCTCCTCCTGCCCTCAATCTTTCCCAGCATCAGGGTCTTTTCCAATGAGTCAGCTCTTCACATCAGGTGGCCAAAATAGTTGTGGTGCATGGGCTTAGTTGCTCCCTGGCATGTAGAATCTTCCTGTATCAGGGATTGAACATTGGCAGGTGGATTCTTAACCACTGGATTACCAGGGAAGTCTGTGGGCTGTTTGTTTTTGACAGCTTTACTGAGGTATAGTCAACATGCAATGGTACTGCAGCTAAGACCTGGAACAATCAAATAAATAAATTTTAAAAATATTTAAAAAAGGAAGTATTAAAAAACATGCAATGAACTACACATATTTAAGTCTACAGTTTGTTAAATTTTGACACAGATATGCACCTGTAAAGCCATCACCACAATCAAGATACTGAATGCATACATCATCCCCCAAATTTCTTCATGTCCTGTGTGATCCTCCCTCTCATCTTCACCCTCTACTTGTTCCAGGTGACCAATGGATCTGCTTCGGTCATTGTAGATCACTTGCATTTTTCTGGAATTTTATATACATGGAATTATATAGTATGTACTCTTGTTTTGTTTGTCTTTCACTTGGCATAATTATTTTAAAATTCATGCATGATGAAGACTTCATAAATAGTTCATCTATTCTTATTGTTGAGTTGTATCCCATCATATAGCTGTACATTTATCTATTTATCCATTCACCTCAGTTCAGTTCAGTCACTCAGTCATGTCCAACTCTTTGCGATCCCATGGACTGCAGCACACCAGGCCTCCATGTCCATCACCGACTCCCAGAGCTTACTCAAACTCATGTCCATTGAGTCCGTGATGCCATCCAACCATCTCATCCTCTGTCGTCCCCTTCTCCTCCCGCCTTCAATCTTTCCCAGCACCAGGGTCTTTTCAAATGAGTCAGTTCTTCGCATAAGGTGGCCAAAGTATTGGAGTTTCAGCTTCTGCATCAGTCCTTCCAATGAATATTCAGGACTGATTTCCTTTAGGATGGATGGGTTGGATCTCCTTGCAGCCCAAGGGACTCTCAAGAGTCTTCTCCAATACCATGGTTCAAAAGCATCAATTTTTCAGCATTCAGCTTTCTTTATAGTCCAACTCTCACATCCATACATGACTGCTGGAAAAACCATAGCTTTGACTAGACAGATCTTTGTCGGCAAAGTAATGTCTCTGCTTTTTAATATGCTATCTAGGTTGGTCATAGCTTTTCTTCCAAGGAGCAACTGTCTTTTAATTTCATAGCTGCAGTTACCATCTACAGTGATTTTGGAGCCCAAAAAGATAAAGTCTGTCATTGTTTCCACTGTTTTCCCATCTATTTGCCATGAAGATGGGACCAGATGCCATGATCTTAGTTTTTCTGGATGTTGAGTTTTAAGCCAACTTTTTCACTCTCCTCTTTCATCAAGAGGCTCCTTAGCTCTTCTTTGCTTTCTGCCATAAGGGTCCATTCACCTATTAATGGACATTTTGATTGTTTCCAGTTTTTGCCTGTTACAAATGAAGCTACTATGAACATTCCTGTAGAATTCTTCGTGTAGACACATGCTTTCATTTCTCTCGGGTAAATCCCTAGGAATGACTGGATCAGACGATAGACATATATTTATTTACTCTTTGAAGAAACTGCTGAACTGTTTTACAAAGTGTACCATTGTGGTTTTAATTTTCATTTCCAAAATAACTAATAATATTGAAAATCTTTTTATGAGCTTATTCGTTACCCATTTATCATCTTTGGTGAAGCGTCTGTTCAAATATTTGCCCATTTTTCATTGGGTTTTTTGTTTTCTTTTTCAACCCCAAACTTCTCATCTTTGGAAGACACTGTTAAGAGAATAAAAACACCAGTGAGGGCGGGTTGTGTGACTATAAACGGTAGAACAAGGGAGATCTTTGTGGTAATAAAATAGTTTTGTATTTTGATAGTGGTGTGATTACACAAATATGCACATATTATAAATAATACATAACAGTATCAATGTTATATTCCTGGTTTTGATAGTATATCATCATTATATAATGTTAGATAATAGAAAATATATATATTAGTCTCTGCCCCTGGTTCTTGGCACAGAGCTCCTAAAACCTTTGCAATTTCCTAAGTGATAAGAGAACTCAAAACATCTTTTGTTTCAGTATTTGGCCTTTAACACCATCCCTGATACAGGGTGCTAAGTCCCTTGGAATTTCCTAGGTGATAGGAGGGTCATTTGTTTTAATGAAGTGACTCTGGGTGGACTCCTGGATAGCTCTTAGATAGGGGCTGTCATCAGAAGGACCAAGCCATGATTAGAAGCTTGGAATTCTCCCTTCCACTCTGCATAACCCCTCCCCCATCAGAGAGGTTGAAAATGAAGTTAATAATTGATCATGCCTACCTGAGGAAGCCTCCATAACAATCTCAGCAGAAGGGGTTTGTGGAGCTTCCAGGTTGGTGAACATGTCCACATTCTGGGAGGGTGATGCAACCCGACTCCACAGGGTCAGAAGCTCCTGTAATTGGGACCCTCCCAGACCTCACCCTCTGTATCTATCCACTCATCTGGCTATTCATTTATGTCATTCATCATATCTTTTCCTAAACTGTTAAACATCAGTCAGTGTTTCCCTGAGTTCTATGAGCCATTCTAGCAAATAACTGAAGGGAGAGGAGGTCATGGGAACCAAGTTGGACAGAAGTTGTGACTAATCTGGGGTCCTACCATTTGCTATTGGCCTGTAACTGTGTGTGTGGTTGGTGGTGGGGGAAGCATCTTAGGGTGGGACTGAGCCCTTAACCTGTGGGATCTGATACTTTCTCCAGGAAGACTGTGCTAAACTGGAGTTAGGTTGCAGGACACTAGCTGGTGTTGCAGAGAACTGCTTGTGAGGAACCTCCTTACTCCCACATTTGTGTCAGAGTGTTGTGAGTGTGAGGCGGTGTGTGTGATGTGGTATGAGAGTAAAGGAGAAACACAGGAGGAAGACTGGGTTTTTCTAACTCAATAACCATTGGGGGAAACGGCACGAAGAGTATATGGGGCCTCTGTACTATTTTTGCAACTATCTGTGAATATAAAATTATTAAAAAAAAAAAACAAAAAACCCACAGACATTCTAAAATAAATGGTGCTTCAACAACTGATCATATATTAGGGAGAAAATAAAATTGGATCCCTATCTTACAATATACATAAAAGTCAATTCCTAGAATATTAAAGGCCTTAATCTGAATAGAAAATTATTAGACAAGAAATATGGAAATTGTCTTTGTGACTGCAAGATAGGAAAATATTTCCTAATGTTCAAAAAGAAAAAACCAAAAGGAAGAAAATCAATAAACTTGACTACATTTATATTAAGCATTTAGATTCACATAAAGTGAAAAGATAAGCTACAAACTGAAAGAATAAGTGCAACACATAAAATTGAGTAAGATTTAATATCTAGACTATATAAATTACTTCTATACATCAATAAGAAAAGACAACTCAATCAGTAAAATGGACAAAGAAATGAATGGTATTTTCACTTAGGAGAAAGCATAAATAATCTATAAACATATGAAAAAAATTTCTGGTTCATTTGAAATCAGGGAAATATAGGTTGAAATCATAATAAAACCCAATTACACAGCCACTAAATGCAAAAGTGAGATAACACCAAATGTTAGCTAGAATGTGGAGTAATGGGAACTTTCACGTGTTGCTGATATTGGTGTAAACTGGAGAAGTTCCCTAGGGAAAAAGTATGTTATTACCTTAATAAGCTGAGCAATGCATATCCTCTGCAAGTTAGGAATTCTCCTGTGAGGTGTATTTCCTAGAGAGCTCTTGCAGCTTGGCACCAAGAGACATGTACAGGAATGCTGATAGCTGCATTGCCTATAATAACAAAACTGATGGCTTCATAGTTTTAAGATCTTTCTATGTTATTTCACAAAGCTGTATTTGATTTTCACCACTCTATTGTATGAATATTATTGTATTAGGGAACACCACAACTTATTTAACTACTCTCTTCATTAAAAGCATTAAAGCCAGATGGCTTTACTGGTAAATCTTTACTAAGCTTTCAAAGGAACAGATAATTCTTATCTTATACTTGTTATTCCATGTGAAATCAGCCAGCTCATTGGGAGAAATTATCCAACTCATTTTTAAGAGGTTAATATAATACCAATACCAAGACCACTTAAGGGCAGTAGAATAGACAAGCTCATTTGTGAACACAGGTGTGAAATTTTTAAATAAAATATTAAAATTTAAATCCAGTAGTAAATTTCAAAATAATGTATTAGGATCAGAGTACAGCATAATCTAGAAATATAAGGATTTTTGAAAATTAGAGACTATCAGTGCTTTTGACTCCCTAACCTAGTCCCATGACTTAAGTAAGAACAACCCAAGCAGTAGGTCACTACAGTCACTGTGATCCAGACCAAACTATACGGGGGATGACGAAATCAGTGTCTGGGGTTCATTCATACAGCAAGGCTAATGATTTCAACATACAGATAAAACAGATGTGCAACTGCATGATTTGTTAACTTAAACTGACTAGACTGAAGCTGACAGGAAAAACACCTGTCTTATGGATCCAGAACCCAGAAGCTCTCCTGGGTGTCAAGGTTCAAGATTATGTTTTATTTCAGGACCTCATGTCTTTATCTTCTACATAAATCCCCTGTAGGTGCTTCCCCAGATCTTCCCCCAAGGTTGAGTTAACATCTCTAGCTTATCTCATCTCCTCTAATAACATCACCACTTATTTCATTTGCAGGTGGTATTATTGCCTTAGAAGATCACTATTTTATAGCCATCATGTAATGAGCAGATTCAGGTAGGGATCATCAATGGATGCTAAAACCATTGTGTGAAAGACTGCTGCAGAGCAGAATATTTACATGGTTTCAAAGTATCATTCCATAAGTTACTTGATTAATTACAAAGAGGAAAAGGCACTTTAAAAATGGAATTCTGATGGATACCACCTGAAACAAATGATCAAACTTACCATCACCAATAACAAGACAAATTGACATTATGTACCTTCTGATGGGATATAAGGGGAAGTACACAACATCACACATATAGTATTTTTGCCAAAAAATGGTTAACCTAAATCTAATTGTGGGAGCTGCTGCTGCTAAGTCACTTCAGTCGTGTCCGACTCTGTGCGACCCCATAGATGGCAGCCTACAAGGCTTCTCCATCCCTGGGATTCTCCAGGCAAGAATACTGGAGTGGGTTGCCATTTCCTTCTCCAGCGCATGCATGCATGCTAAGTTGCTTCAGTCGTGTCTGACTCTATGCAACCCTATGGACAGCAGCCCACCAGGCTCCTCTGTCCACAGGATTCTCTAGGCAAGAATACTGGAATGGGTTGCCATTTCCTTCTCCAGTAATTGTGGGAGGAAGGTGACCAAATCCAAATTGTGAGACATTCTAAAAGACAACTTCCCTGGACTCTTCAAAAACAGTAGATTCATGAAAGACCATGCATATATGTATATGCATGCAGACATGCATGTCTGTGTGTACTGTTCTTGATTAAAGATAAAGATTAAAGAATATGCAAAAGGCTTGACAACCCAATGCACCATTGGATCCTTCATTGGATCCTAGATCAAATAAGAAAAAAGTTATAAAGGAAACTGGTGGTAATGATGAAATTTTACTATGTTATTGTATATTAAATGTACTAATGTTAAATTCCTTGGATGTGGTAATGATTTTGCAGATATTTAGAAGAATGTTCTGTAAAAAGCTATGTGCTGAAGTATTCAGGTATAAAGTCTCCTCATGTCTGGAACTTTCAAATGGCTCAGCAAAAAAAAAGAAAAAAGTACACAGATGTATCTTAGATAAATAAAATGTGGCCAAATGTTAATAACTGGTGAATCTAGGTAATGGATCAACTATTAATTCATTATATTAATATCATAAGTTCACCTTTTCTGGGGATTATTTTTCAAAATAAAAAGTTGGGGGGAAAAGCAAAAAGAAAAACACCAAAAAAAAAAAAAAAAGGCACCTACTACAGTTGGAAAAAGGCAAGGGCTGCAAAGGAGAAAGGATGTGCAGTGCTAAATTACAGAAACTTGAATCTTACTTGGTTAATCATCCACTGTGTTCTTAAAATCTTCAGTTCTGTGGTCACAAAAGTGGAAACATTCCATACTTGTTGTTTTTCTCCTCTACCCTCATAAGGTCTGACTCATATGAATAGCTTCTCCTGAATTTACTTAGTGAATTTATTTCTTCCGAGTTAAACTTGATGCCTTTTCCACCCTCTTATATAAAAAATTCCCTCTTCAGGTCTCCTCGTTAATCAATGTTGTCCTTTCAAAAAGTGGAATTCACCTTAATAGGTTAAGGCAGGAAAATTATATGATTGTTACCCTCCATGCAAGGAGCGCATGCAATAAACTTCTGTGCCTTCTAAAAAGTAAGAAAATAACTTCCTTAATGTGAGAAACAGCATTGCAGCAAAACCTCTATCAAACTTCATATGTTAAAGTACGAGTATCCTTATGGACCTCAGAGGCATTTCCTTTAACAATGGTAATGAAGGAGAACAATAAGATGGGGGGTACCTCTATCACCAATAATGCTCAACTTGATGTTGGAGGCCCTGACCGATATAAGACCAGAAAATGAAGGAGTAACTGTAAGAACTGGAGAGAGAGAGATATATTTGCAGATTATATGATCATTTGCATTAAAATAATCATAAGAATAGCTAATATGCATTAAGCATTTAATATATGCATAAGCTGTTCAGTAAGCATTACATGTATAAATGCCATTTAATCCTACTTTAAAACAACCCTAGGAGATAGG